AATTTCTTTTAAAATAAATAAAATATATAAGGTACATGTCTATGTTTATAACAAAAGAAAGTTTAAACGTTAATAAAAATTTACTTGCATATATAATGAAGTAAACCTACATGCTGGAGAAAGAAACATTACAAAAATCAATCAATATTCAACACAAGTTATTTTTTTTTTCTTTTTGAAAAATATTTGTTTGAAGAGTCAATTTATATAAATGGACATCAAACAAATAACAAAACTTTGACTATATAATTGATTAATTTCTGTTTAGCACCTTCTAGGAATTGAAGGATATAAGCCGAAATCTCTTCATTTAGCTGCAGTCAAACCAACATTGCAAGGGTATAGTATTTTTTACATTGAAAAATACTAGTTTTGAATCATTAGATTATGTGAAAGATTTTTTTCTCGAATTCAAAAGGAGGGATATTGGTTTCTAATTGATAGTTTCTATAGCGATTTTCAAGTGTAACGAAAAGTATATTTAAAAAAAAATTGGTATGACGTGAAATAGTTATTTTTAAAATATAAACAAATTATTTCGAAATGGGATTATTTTTTAAATTATAATGTAATTTTTAAAATAAAAATAAGATATTTTTAAATTTTAGTAGAGAGTTTTTAAAATAAATATAATAGAAGTCATATCATGGATTAAATCAAGAAACCAAAATCTTATGGATTATTACATAAATATCCGGCCAGATTTATTATTTACTTTTTATAGCTAATATACATAGATGATATACCTATTACACATGATTATACACATGTTACATACGAATTATAAATAAATTACACATCCTCAATTTTTTAGTTTAAGTGGTTGGGTGAGCTCCTGTTTAGGTTGATAAGATAAAGTCAAAAGAAAAATATGACAAAATTTCAACCAAAGATTAAAAATATAAATAGAGTTCTTATGTAGACAATTTCTTTTAAAACTCATCATTTTAACNACAATACAAGGTTTCAGAGGTTGTGTACCTGGAAATATTTGACAATTGAAGAAAAAGGCAGTCAGCAGAGTACAATGACAACAAAATGCAGCAGCAATCACAGCATTATCAGTAGCAGCAGGGCAGAATAGCAGCAGGCAAAACAATACAGCAAGAAACAAGCTTGAGTGCAGAGATGCAACTATGGCCAATAGAAAGCAATAGCCAAATAACAGCAACACCCAATGGAGTAGAATCAAAACTCTAGACAGACCAAACCAGTGGTAAGCCAATGGAAACACTCGACCAACAGACACAACTGGAATTTCAAAGAATCAGAATTGATTTGAACAAGTTCAGCAGCTGAAAACCAATACTAATAGGAGGAAAAAGTTTCTGATTGTTGGTTGTATAGCTTCTATCCCTTAACCTCTCTCTATCTGTGTTTTTGTTTTTCCTTTTCAGCTCTTAAGGTTCCCAATCCCCTCACTGTGTGTGTATATTTTCTTTTTCAGGTCTGATCCTCTCTATCCTCTGATTCTATCTCCTTTTTTATGTCTATCTCCTAATGCCCCCCTCTTTCTCCTGCCCAATTCTGTCTCCTTTTATAAGCCTCAACACCATCTCTTTTAACAGCCTGTTTTTCAAATGTCACAGTACTCCTCCCATGTGTCTTTTACCTTTTCAGATCCCAATTAGTGATTTAAGTATATTACCTCCATCAACATTCCCTGGAAGACTTACTTTTGAAAGGTTTAATACTTTTTAAACTTAAAGCAATGTATGGGCAGTAGAATATGTCTGACAGCATATGCTGTCAACACATTTTAAAATTAAAAGCCCTTTTATGAAGGAAACAGGCTGTGCACAATGCACATGCTGTGCACAAGTGCACATGCCATCAACTCAGATTTCAATTAACAGACCAAGCCTTAGGTTTCTGAAATCATATTAACAGCTATAAGTAACTGGACTTGGTTCTTAATTGATTCAGGCAAATGTTCAACAGAAGCAAGTCAATTTGTTATTGTTCGGACAGTTGAAACTAATTGACGACATATGTCGACTCGACTATATTAATCATAACACATACAACCGTAACCAAAAATCAAACATTCAACAGTATCGACATATGATTTGAATTG